AATGTTCCCTATCTCCTCAGGTTTACCCACCTTTCCTGGCTGCTGCTGGCTCTTCCTCCTTCCAAACCCCGCCTCCTCCCTGTGAGCGTGCTAACTGTGCGGCGGGGGGCCGATGCCGGAGCAGTCACTGACCAGCAGTCCCACCGTGTTTGGACCAACGCTGGCGCTGCCCACGGGCTCCGTGCTCGGCTGGTTGGGGGCAGGGTCCCCCTGCTGGGCGTGGGTGCCCATGTGACCCTGGAGCTGCGTAGTCGTCTTACATTGGACCCCGCAGAGCTGGCAGAGCAGCACGCCCCCGGCCCCCGCCCCACCGAAGGCCCCTCGGGCCCCACCGCTCTCCTTCCACTCCTGGCCGTGGTGCTTCTGGGCGTGGACGCGCAGGTAGGTGAGGGTGGTGAAACCTGAAACACAGGCAGGGAAGAGATCAGAGCCTGGAGCCTCCAGAAGTCCAGAGAAGTCTGAGGCCTCGATCTGGAGCTTTCTGGAAGCTTCTCATCAAACGTGTCTATTTTTAGCGGCGGGGACATTTTCTGGCAGGGAAAATAAACGCGTCTGTGTTAAAAAACGGCGGCCATGATTGGCTGAGAAGCACAGGCAGCGCTAACACAACGGTGGCCCTGCGTGGGCGTGATGCCTTACTGCGGTTGCACAGGTGGCAGGAGTGGTGCTGCGACTGGTTGTGGACCCTCATGTGGTCGGTGATGTATGCAGCAGACAGCAGCTTCCCACAGATGTGGCACGGCACCTTCTCCTCGTGGCGGATCAGGTGCGCACGGAGGCGATCCCGTGTGGCAAACGCAGACGTACACGTCTGAAAATCAGAAGATGGGCTTCAGATGCAAAACAGATTCATTAACAGACACATGAAGAAACAACATTTTTTCAATTTAAATAAAAAAAAAAACTTTTATTTTGTCATTCCTGAAAAATCCACCCAGACCAGCCCAGAGGTTCAAGACAAACTACAGATTACCATCTCTGTCAGCTAGCCGTAGTCTAGCAGCGGGTCAGTCAGCTAGCCGTAGTCTAGCAGCGGGTCAGTCAGCTAGCAGTAGTCTAGCAGCGGGTCAGTCAGCTAGCAGTAGTCTAACAGCGGGTCTGTCAGCTAGCCATAGTCTAGCAGCGGGTCTGTCAGCTAGCCGTAGTCTAGCAGCGGGTCTGTCAGCTAGCCGTAGTCTAGCAGCGGGTCAGTCAGCTAGCAGTAGTCTAGCAGCGGGTCAGCCAGCTAGCCGTAGTCTAGCAGCGGGTCAGTCAGCTAGCAGTAGTCTAGCAGCGGGTCAGCCAGCTAGCCGTAGTCTAGCAGCGGGTCAGTCAGCTAG